GCCGGCAGCCAGAGAGAAAGGAGTTCCCTGAGCAAAGATGCGAGAACCGCAGGTACAGCCCATGCCGGGTAAAGGTTGGCAGCTCTGGGACATGTGAGCAATGTGGTTTCAGCCGGGCGGCTTTAAGTTGAGTTATAGCCTAGGGGCTTGTGTTTTGCATTGTTGTTGTTGTTATACCGGTGGTTTGGGAGAGGCTAGTAGGGGATGGAGGAGGCCTCATAGGGGACCCACAGCAGCGTGGGGACCCCAGCACCAGTAAGGGCACTGCGTACGGGGTGCATAGACCCCAGCCCCAGAGAGGGGCGACTGAGAAGCCCTAGTGCAGGCGGAGCGAGCCCCAGAGAAGGGGACAGCTTGCTGGTGAGCCCCGAGAGAGGGCGGCATTATAGGAGAGACCCGAGAGAGGGCAGTTTGATTGAGAGGGCCCAGTGTGGCCACGGAGAGCCCCAGGAGTGGGCAGCATTCCTGAGCGGGCCCAGTGTAGCCACGGAGAGCCCCAGGAGAGGGGCGGCATTACCAAGAAGGCCCAGGGTGGGCACGGAGAGTCCCAGGAGGGGGCAGCAGTACTGAGAAGGCCTGAAGAGGGGGCAGCATTGTGGAGAAGACCCTGGAGAAAAGGGCAGTATTATTGAGAAGGCCCCAGAGAGAGGGCGGGGCTGCAGAGGAGCCCTGAGAGAGGGCAGCGCTACTGAGAGGCCTCCGAGAGAGGGTGAGTGTAGACCTGACAGAACAACGTCTATTCCACCTGCGAGGCTTGGGGCATGGTATTGGGGTGGTAGGAGCCACGCATAGCCCATAAGGGTAGGGTGCCCGGGAAGCACCCATCGTAGAGTGAGACCCATGAAGAGTCCGGGAAACCACGGGGTCTGAATCAACACCGAGAAGTGACCAAGAGGGCGTAAGGCAGTCTCCCAATCTTATTTAAACATCAAAGACGTGGCGGGTGAGAATTGGAGCGTGCCCTTGGGCTGACTTGGCACGGAGGAAGGGGGCCTTAAGGGGATCATGACCCTCCTGGAAGACCCTGCTGTGACGCCGTGATTAAAAAACAAAAAAACCCAAAATCACTTTGTAAAATATTCTCAAATCCATGTTCCTCCACAAGTAAAACAAAAGACCACTATAAAGAGAGAGAGAGAGAGCGAGACCAGGACAGCAATCAGTTGGACAATGTCTTATTGATATATCTACAGTGTTAAAGCAAATCTCTTATCATCATAATAATAAAGTGAACTCTAAATACATGTTTCATGAATATATATTTTGCTGCACTCCCACAGGGGTTATGGCCCCCCAATGGAGTTTGGCCCCAACACCAGGGCTGCAACC